CACATGCCCACGCACAAATGCATACAACACTCAAAGTTGCACTGGCTTGGCTGTGGGAATTGTTGTTGGAAAATACAGATTTCAGCCGTTCAATCTCAACTTTAACTGGTTCCTTGTCGCTTTCAGTTCCGTTCGCCCTAACTTCTCGTTGCCTCTGGCTTTTTCACACTCTCCTCTTCTCCTCGCGTTGTCTGGTCGGTCTCCAAGGCCCGATTCAGCTGGCCGGCATAACAAATTCCCATGCCGAGGGGGAGAGACGAACCCGGTTGTATGTACATCCCAAATTGGGCAATTCGTCTACCCGTTGTCAGGACTGACCTCGCATTTGTCGTCTCTGCTGTCTACCAAAAAGGACGGGCCAACGAGGCGTGTCCTTCATGGGCTCTGACTCGAGCTCAGCAACAGGTCTCGACAGGAGATGAGGCGAAATCGACACGCATACACATGGTTGCGTCAGTCTGTCCGAGCCTGTTCGGCCGAATCCGTCCAATCCCCTAAACTCGAGAGGCCCTCTCATCTCAGACTCGGACAGAGGCCTCTTCCAGTTGAGGCAAGCAATTATTGTACATTCGCCCGCCAACGAAGTTACCAAGGCAACTATATTTTCGGACTAATTGTCGCCAGGGCTTCAATGGCAGGGGTTCGGACGCCATACCTGAGGGCGAAGATGAGCAAGTGGTGTGTTTGCTACGAAAGTCAAGTTTTTCCACAAAACTATAAAAGCTCAATCTGATATTGGCATAGCTTCTTCCATTTCGTATGAAAAACTAGCTGGAAGGGACTCGTAAATTGGCGGAAACTTAATGATGATTGCCTTTGACTTTTGAATGATGATGATGATGCCATGTGACGGGCATGATCAGAGCCAGAAACCGTCGTTTGCGAACAATCCCCAAAAGGCTAAATCAAAAAGGGAGCTTTTTGGTGATTGTTGATAAACACGATAAGCAGAGGTCTTCTTTGCATAATCTAACATTCACAAGTGCAAGACAACCCTCCTCCGGTAGCTGGTGGGGCCAATTTACGAATGTCTTCCAGATGGTTTTTCATACCAAATGAAGGGTATGCCAGAGTATTCTTCGATATTCATCTTCTCTCCATACATTTAACTCTTCTCGGATGTACAAAAAGGCAGTTTTGAATTGCTCACATCTAGTCATAGACTACTAATATGACATTTAAGTAAGCGTGTCGATTGCAATATTGAGCACAAATTGCTTGGACAAATGTCGTTTACTGTGGCCCCTGCTCGTGGAGTTGAGTGGGAAACGTCGCCACAAAAGTCACGAGCCCCAATTGAATCCCGTTGAGGGCGCAGATGCGACATGGGCAATGTCAAAACTATCGTCCGGACAAGATTAGGTATCTTTTGTAGCATGACTTTCTATTTCGAAGGGAAAGTTGGTTCGAAGCAACTCCCAATGTAGTCTCAGCCGAAAGGACAAGAAGGGTTGTCGCTCACTGTCCTCCGTCCCCGATGAAACTGGGCTCATCTTTCGTCTGTCCTCTCCGTGACACTCAACATCCTAGCAGCTATCCATACTTCACGAAATAGAGCAAAAATATATTAAACCAAGATAAAAGATGGCCGGCTGCAACCCTAATCGCTTCTTATGCACCGAACTTCGCGATCTTAATCATTGGCTATTTCAACGTTGCTCAACATGCTTGCAAATGAGAAAAGTTATTTCCCGAACAGGAGATGCGTTCGGTGCAAGTTGTCTCCTTACACAACTAAACTAGTTTACGTGAGTAACTAAGTAAGGTCGTCGATTGCTGTAGCAACTATAGGTTTGCTTCATCGACAAGCCCAACACTGAATGTGATATGAAAAATGCCTGACATTCCTTGAAATTCACATCCGCCCTTTGACCCAATTGCACTCGGACTTACACGCTGTACCGTCATGGTTCGACTCCCGCGTGTGGAGGTGATAAGACCTATGCGAGGTGGAAACTGCAGTCCACGCTGGATGAGCAATGTTATGTGAAACTGAATGGAAACGTCAGTTCTACTCATATCATTGTGGGAAAAATCAACTTCCAGCCCTTCATCACCTTAAACGAAATAGGGTGAACACAACTCAAATGTCTGCTTTACTGGTGGTCTCGAAAACCTACTTACTTATGCAGTCAAGTCTGAATGGGTATTGCTTTTGTGAATGTAAGACTTTGTGAAATTCAATAGAAATATAATTTCAATTCATATCATTGTGCGAAAATTCAACTACCTTTCCCTTTATCACCTTAAAAGGAATAGAGTAAATAGACATCATACATAAATGGCAAGACTTACTACGATGCTGAGGAAACGTCTTGGAGTTTGACAGGTCCACGGTCCGATGCTGGGACACCTCTTGGGAAAGCAAGGTTATGTGAAATTCAATGGAAAACATCAGATGTACTCATATGATTGTGGGAAAAATCAACTATCAGTCCTTCATCACCTCAAATGAAATAGGGCGAAAACAAGTCATAAACTATTTTGCGACCCTGTGGGCTTGTGCTACTCTCTTTTGAGTGTATGTAATCTTTATGTCATGGAATGTGTGATTGTGCAAGCTAGACTCGAGGCTAATCCAACCCCCTTACCTTGTTCAGCGGCTCTTCCTGTACTCCCTTTCTCTGCTTTCCATTAAACCTTTCCAGCTGCCACAAATAGTTCCTACTCACTCCTATTCAGAATATTAGTTGTTTTGTTAATTTCTGTAGACTAGCTGCTCTTACGCTTTTAGCGTAGTGAACCGGAAAGAGGGTCTGAAAACTATCTAAACGAAGGAACGACTAAAGAAGCTATCAACTTCTCTTTATATCTTGTTTTGATGTTCCACTTTTTCGGTAGATCACCCCATTTTTTCGCAAGCTGACAGGAAAGCAAAATCAGGAAACGAGTCTATTCCGTCCCAGTTAGCAAACTCCCCTCATTTAATTACCGACAAGTTATATGTATTTTTCGAATTAAATATTGTTTTTGTGACTACCAGTAAATCAGTAGCATGAGATGTATTCACACTGGTAGAAGAAGAATTTTCCCACAAGCATATGAGTTGAGCTAACGTTTCCATTCAATTTCACATAGCCTTGCTTTACCAAAAGTTGTTCTCATCCAGCCACCAGTCGACTGCAGTTTCGACCTCGCATCGGTCTTATCAACACTCT